ATTTTATTTATATATTCTTATCATTAAGATAATAATTAGAAGTTCTATTACAAGTAAACTACATTGTATATTTAAATTCATTCGGTTACCAATAATACAATAACGCTTTATTCCGCATATTTTGACAGTTTTTGTTAATTTTTTTTCCCTTTTTTTAAAATCGAAATTACAATTGCAATAATCATCTAATTAAATAAATTCTCAAGGAGGTAATTAGATTCAAAATGCGCTGCCTCTTTTGATGCGACATCATGCAATTATATAAATTGAATTTAATGTTTTCTTCGGTCGCAAAGTAACGGATTCGTTGTCTATACACAAAGGAAACCTAACACCCTCAGTCATCATCCCATTATTCAACCCGAAATGAGTTGTTATATAATTTAGATTTAGGAAAAATCTGAAGATGCTTTTCAGATTGACATATGTATTCAGCACTCCAATAGAAAATAATATTCGAAGCTTTTTTTTTTTCTTTCTAATATCTCATAATTGTTTTATTTGAGAGATTGAAAAACGTGACACACAAGAAGTCACACACATACATACATATTTTATTACTTCATTTTCTTTTCGATTTATTGTTTAATAAGTTTTTTTTTATTTATATAATAGACTAATAACGTATCGGTAGTGGAAATTGTTTTTTTTTTCAAATAATGTGAGCAATATATAACCTCATTTTAGAGATTAAGTAAAAAATTGGAAACTAAAAAATGGTATTTAATAAATGGATGATTATATATATGCATGCTCTTTTCCTCAAAGGTGTTAGATTGAAGGCTTCTTAAATTACGGGTTTGATATACGTTCTTTTATATTAAACATTAGTCAAAAAGTATATTGATTTTGTATAATTGATCTTGTAGACCATATAGATTGAAGCAGTTATTGCGGTCAATTAAGAGAAATACAAAGGAAAATCATTTCCGATCTTATAATTATATATAATTATATATATATATTGTCATCTAATATTAACTTTATAAATTTATTGGGTTGTATAGATCGTTATATACTTATCATTTATATTTCATATGTTTATAGTTATTTTTTTAGTTTTAGTAATCAATGATTTAGCTTAAGACATTGAATACAAAAAATCATTTTATTTATTTCCTTTGTAGTTAATATTCCATCTGTTTAATTTTATTTGACGTTTTAGTTTTTAACAGGCATATTAAGAAAAATAAAATTTTGTCTAAAATATCCCTTTTTAATTATGATGTTTTTATTTTTTCTCTCATACAATATTGTAATTATCTATTATTAATGAAGGATAATTTCGGAAAAAATATCAAAAAGTATATAGAAAATATCAAAATGTCATTTATTTTAAAACAAACGTCATATAAAATTAAAGGGGGGAGTATATGTTTAAATAAATATATGAATAAAATTGTCTTCTAATATTAAGTTTATAATTTACTTTTTTAGTTTTGGATCATTCATTTTCTTTTCATTGTAGTTTCTTTATGACAGTGACTATTATTGCTTCATTGTTTTGCGTGCAAGTCAAAGCAAATAAGTCAAAACTATAACCACATGTCTTTGACTTTTGACTTCTGTAATTAGTTAGGTGCATAATATTTTATACTTTTATTGATCAATCAATGCCTTTTTTTACTGGATATAATTTTTTTTTGTTACAATCACATATATTATTTGCCTAAAAGTATACATAGAACTTTTCCAAAAATATACTTTAAGCATTCATAATCATTATTGGTTTGTTAATCCCCTGAAATATAATCTGTTAATTGAATATTTATATATTTTAGTACAACAATAATAAATGATATTCAAATATATCACCTCTATATTATAGATTAATTATCAGAAATCCAGTATATAGTAACTACGGATGGATGTCTTTCGTTTTTATAAAAATAGATATCAATCGATTATTATATTATATTTAGATCGGTTCACTTTCGGTTTCAGTTTTTATTAAAAAAATTAGGTCTTAAATTTTTTCTGTTTTTCAAGTTTCTTAAATTTCAATTCGTTTCATTTCGGTTCTAAAAAATTTATTTTTTTTAAATTAATAATATTCGAGAATTTCGTACGATTTAAATCGAAAAAATACAACATTTTCTGGTTCGATACGGTTTGGTTCTTCGGAACCGAACCCTCCATCCCTAATAGTAACTTCATACGTGCTGACATCTAATATATTAATAGTTTAAATGTAAAAAAAACTGTTCATATTCGATTTGTATTCATTATGTAATATCTATTTATAATAGAAATTGTATATAATACTTCACAATTTTAACATTGTCTGGGCTCAACTTTATTGCGGCCCAATTGGCTCCCCCTCAGCAAATTGGGCCGTAGTTATAACTGTGTGGGTCGAAATCTTTTTTATTTATTATTATTTAAATTTTGAAGCTTGAGAAATATATACGACGCAGCCCCAATGGATTAATCAATATTTGTGCTAAAATTTGTCTCATTTCTCATAAAAAAAAAATTGCATTGGATCATCAAAGGTTGTTTTTTTTCCAACATAGAGACGAGTTGAGTTTCTGATCATCAAAGGTCTTGGACTCCAATCTGAACATTCTCAAGACACGACTTTGTTCACTTCGGTTCCAACCTTCCTCATTACAAGACTTTAGTCCGAACATTTTCAAGGCATTTGATCTCCATTCTCAAGATTCTCTTCAAAGGCAAAGATTCGGTGTCCGGGAAAGTTGCTGAAGTACCAGGAAGCCGATAACATCATGGTGGCTCGGTATTTGGAAAGAGG